TTTAAAATATTTACATCTATATACATAAAAAATTAAAAATAACAATAAATCTGTGTACAACACGCGTCTATAATCTAGAGAGAGTGGGAGAGAGAGGGAACAATGGAAGGAATGAGAAAGGGAAGGAGTGAGGAGGGAGAGAAAAAATGAGAGGGAGAGAATAGACAGAGGAAGAGAGGGATGGAGAGGGATGGATAGGCGAAGTTACAAACTCGAGTATAAGTAAGAGACATATGACAATAGTTGAATTGTTTGAATGATTCTAATATATAACCATACGGCTAAAATTCTAAGTGATATCTTGATTTATAATTTTTTTTTGATGTTTTATTCTTTAAATTATTCTCAATTTAAAGATCCTCATAAAAAGGTAATTGATAGGGATTTTAACTTTATGCTGCTAATGTATTTCTATACAAATATTGCCGAGAATTTGATTTTAAAATAATAAATAACAATTTTTGTTAATGATAAAAAAATATTTTGCTGGCTTTTAAAAAATAAACCATCTCATGAATGAAAATGTGAACAAGTTATTTTTTATGAATTTTTACATAAAATTTTTACATAAAAATAAACCATCTCATGAATGAAAATGTGAACAAAAATAAATCATCTCATGAATCTTAAGGATTTTAAACCATAATGAAATAAACTAAAATTTTAAATATTTTAAAAGAAAGTAGCAATTTTCAAAGTTTCATAGATATAATAACATATAAATCTTCAAAATCTCACACCAAATAAGTAGTAACAATAAAAATAGTAAAAAGAAACGTTTGAATATACAGTTCAGATTCAAGAAAACACATAAACCATCAAGAATCTTCACAACATATATATATATATGTATAAGAAAATAAAAATAACAATAAATTCAAAAAAAATTCAAACCTCTATTTTACATATATAAAATCCATATCTCACATTTAATTTTTTAACTAAAAAAAACATACGCTAAAAATAAAAATTTCTATCAAATACTACAAAATACTCAAATATATCAACTACTAATTACTACACAAGTCATTATACTACTTAATGATATCGGTTTAAATGATAACAATAAGCTGTGCACAGCACGGGTACTATCCTAGTAGGATATATAGAGGAGACTTCAACCACTGAGCCAATGACACTTTCGGACAAAAGGATCATACATTTGCTTTTATTACTCATTTTTGACTATTTTTTTATTATAAAAATTGCGATTTTTTTTTTTTGCTTTCGGACAAAAGGGTCAAACAAGATGGTTGTGCTTGATAACAGATTAAGATGGTTGTGCTTTGATAACAAGTTAAAATCACAAACTTTTTAAAAAAAAAAAATCAGGCGAAAATGAGTAATAAAAGCAAATGTATGACCCTTTTGTCCGAAAGTGTTATTGGCTTAGGTGAAAACAGGGGAAAGTATCCTATATCAAGAGTTCGAACCTAGGTATAACAAAAATTTTAAAATCGTGAATTTTTTGAAAAAATCGGGCGAAGTGAATAATAAAAACAAATGTATGACCCATATGTCCGAAAGTGTCACTAGCCCAATGGCAGAAGTCTCCCTTATGCATTTGAAAGTCATGAGTTCTAAACCAGGTGGAAACAATTTTTTTTCGTTGTTTTGAGTTAACCCCAAGAGTAACAGCAGAGTTAATGGCGTTAAAATTTTTTGTTAACTTTATAAATGGTGTGCTGATTTGGCAAGTCAACAAAAAATTTGTTATTATTTATGGAAGTCAACAAAAGTTGAGTGTTTATTTGGCTAGGCTGATAGTTCGTGCTTTTTTTGGCAAAATACGAAAAGTTTGGGATTTTTTTGGCCGAATTCTCGATTTTTTTGGGAAAAACTTTATTCACCCCTCTTATTTTAACCAATAAGAATATGACACTTATTATTATATTTTAGGAAAAAATATTTGTTTACCCAAAATAAATTTAAAATAAAGTTAAACATTAATATGCTTGGGTTCACTATTTTCAATTTAAAGTTTACTTTTTTTCTCATTAAAAAATATTTAAATATAATATTAGATGTTATATTTTTATTGGTTTAAATAAGAAGAGTTGAATAAAGAGATTCACCCTTAAAGGTGAACCAACAAATTGTTCTTTTTTTGGGAAAATTATATTGGAAGACAATTTTTGTTCTCACTATATCTGAACAATCATTGATCACATATATAAAGTTTTTTTTTAAAGCACTCTTATTTTATTTAGTTATAAATTATGAGAACTATTACATCAATAATTCTACAGCGAACAGTTCTTCCGTTGACATACACGTCAAACGGATCTCCATGCATCATATTAAAAACCTCTGTAAGCATCTCCATTAATCTGCAAATTAATAATTACTCACACTTTTCATTATTTAAAATTCAAATCTACTAACATAGAAGTATTAATGAACTCTTAATCAACCATTAGGCCAAGAAAGCTTCCACCTCAGATATTATTGGTGAATGACGAACAAATTAAACTAAAACTAGTTTTTACCCTGTGCATTCGTACGAGATGTTTTTTATGAATTTAAATTTTTAATGTAATTTCTATTTTTTTATAAAATATATATTTTTAATATAAATAATAAAGATTTTTTTTATTTAGATATAATTTATTATGAAATAATAATTCTAACCCACATGTTCATATTTCCATATAATATAAATATTTACTAATTTTAAAATAATTTTTTAAATATATTGCATGTTTTGATAACCTAATCCGCATAAGATTATAATAAAAAAAAATAAACTACCCCATCAAATTATCATATAATATTAATATTTATCAGTTTTTAATATGTAAAATTTTAATCTTATTGAACATGATAAAAAAATATAAAAAGATATTTGTTAATCATATATGTTATTCTAAAAATATTATTTAATTTTTAAATGTTAAATTAATCTAACCTATATTCAAGTAAATTTAAAGTAATTGAAATTAATATATATATTTTAAAGAATTTAATTAATTACAAAATAAATAGTTTGAATTTTAAATTAAATATAAGCTATATTTAAGGAATCGTAGTTATCTAAATTAATATCAAATTTTTGAAATAAATTTATATGTAAAATAAAATATTTTTAAAAAAACTTTAGGAGTGTTTGGAAACAAACACTAAAAATGTTTCTGTTTAATAAAATAGATAAATGTCCAGCAAAAAGTATCGGAATGTGCGGCTATTGTACTAGGAGATTTGTGGTTACATTAATTTTTTTCCTTTTTCTTCTTCTCTCCTGCATTTGTTAATTCTTCTTTTGCTTGCGGTGTAAGTAACCTATCTTCAACATATATCTTTTCATTTTATTTTTTTAATACACAAATATATCTTGAACATATATCTTCAACATACTTTTCCATCAAAAAACTCAGTTAACCCTTCAAAGGAGAGTCTTCAAAGTACAAACCAGTACTAGCAGAAATTCAGTGTGAGATCTGGGGATAGCCAGATGTAACGATGTAACATTGACTTATAACTCCTAAATTTTTTCTTAAGTTATATAAAAAAATTTTGGCCCCAAATTAAAAAAAAAAATTTACTTATATATTTTCTTAAATTATTTAGAGTCTCCAAATTTTTTAATTCGGCCATGGCATGGCAGAACCTAAATCCAAGTGACCAAGAACTTAAACCAAGAACTTAAATCATCACACAACATCATTGTCAGACAACGATAGAGAAACTCTGGCAGCCAAAACGATCTGCCCTCTCCTCTTTGAGCTGAATTTCAAGGTTTGAGCACTTCCGCTTCAAATCCTTTAATTGTTCCTCAATATCTTGCATCCGACTCTCACTAGTTTTCTCCTTCGCCTTCTTTTCTTTTACTTCATCAAGTTTCTTCTTCAACCAATTCAACTTAAACCCTACATTTGTCATGTATGCTAAAGTGATTTCTGCATCAGCAGATCATCGTTAGCAAAGAATCATTTGGGCCTCACGGAAGAAATTTCAACAAAGATGGAAAAAGAAGAGTTGTGATGAGTGAAATAATTCTGTTCTTGTTTTGGGCATTCAAATATTCGAATTCGGGTTCGATTTGGATATTTTGAATTTCTAGTATCTCGATTATTTCAAATCAATGAATTTAGGAATCGACTATTTTTGAAACTCAGATTGGATTAGGTTAGGGTATTTAATTGAAAAAGTTAAACTAATTTTTTTTTGGATACTAGATTTTGCGTATTTTGTTGATAAAAATTATATACAATTAATTATATTTATTATGATATAAATTTTATATATTAGTGTTTTAATAATATATTAAAAATATTATGATGTTAACATAATAATTTTAATATAAATTGTGATGTTTTAACGGTTTTGTTTTATGATTTATATATGTCGTATTTCAAAAATGTGTTATTTTATCAAACACTTATAAGTTAATAGATTCAAACTACCTAAATTTTTTATAAATTAATCAAATGCTACTTTTTAAATATAGTATTGACATGATGATAAAATATCATACATTCATTTCTTTAAATAAAAAAATATATATATTTTTTTAATATAATTTTCACTTTTATATATGTGTTATTTAAAAAAATGAAAAAAAAATTAATCTTTTCTGCTCTTTTTTAACCAATACAAAATTTTATTTTAATTTATTAATTTAAAAAATAACTAATAAATAAAATATTTTTTTACAGGTTTAGTTTTGAAACCAAAATAATAGTTGAATATGATATGAATAAAATCACACAAAATATGTGAATTAAATATTCTTTTATCAATTAGTTGTGTTTGATTAGTATAAGATGGTATCCAAAAATATTTGAATTATCCAAATTTTCTAAATTTTGAAAAAATATATTTAAATATCCAAAATATCCAAAAATAAATAATATCTTGAAATTTATAATTGTAATTTTATTATTTTTATATATTAAAATTAAAAAGTCAATTAAGAAATCCAATTAAAGAAAATAGTCAATTAAGAAAAGAAAAGAATTTGTGTCGGTCTGTCTCTTCTCTCTTGTCTTCGTGTTTCCAAATCTTTCTACAGCTCAGTGACCCTGTGGGGTTTTCCCCATGGAGCTTCCTCTCTCTCTGTCTCTCCTCCTCTTCCTCCTCCTCCTAGGGTTTTGGGTAATTCCACAATTCACGAGGCATGATCATTTTCCCCACTTGCAACGGTTTCTGGAGATTTCAATCGAAGATCCCCAGATTTTGGGAATTTAACAATCAAACGATTTTTCAAAATCTAAACTCTGTTTTTGGTAGAGAAGAAGAAAAATCGGCATTTCTGAACAATGCCTACTCAGAAATCGAGATCGGAGAAGAAAGACGCCGGAGAAGATGAGCTCCGACGGAACCCTTATCAAGTCCTGGGAATCCCCAGCAATTCGACGGATCAGGAGATTAAAAGTGCCTATCGAAGAATGGCTCTCAGGTCTTTTCAATTCTGGCAAAGCTTGAGACTTTTGTGATTAAGATGTTTTGTAAGATGTAATTTTGTGGAAGTATTGTCTCTTTGATATAGTAGCTCACTCGTTGTTGATCCAAACCTCAGTATAATGTCTGGTTTTTGTGTTTCTTAGTTCCTCTTTAGTGTTATGTGTACTGAGAGGTTGAGTTGTTCAGGTACCATCCTGATAAGAATCCAAACGATCCTGTTGCAGCGGATATGTTTAAGGAGGTTACATTTGCATATGACGTCTTGTCTGATCCGGAAAATCGGCGTCAATATGATACAACTGGCTCTGAGGTGAGATTTTTAAGGTTCCACATCGTTTAACTTCGAAAACATTGTATAGTTTAGGACTGGATAGTTTAGCTTTGTAGAGTGGCCATGTTTTGCTAGAGTTGGAACAAGCATTCAACACTGTTTCAGTTTCCAGATGACCTTAAATCACTTATGGCTATAGTTTCTTGCTCTTCTTTAGATGCTCCTGTGTCCACATCACTTAAAGATCCTATTTTTGAAGTTTTACATTGTTCTGTGATGGTTCTGTAGGCTGCTGGTCCGGAAAATGAAGACCTTGAGCTCGATCTTTCAAGCTTAGGAGCTGTTAATACTATATTCGCCGCACTGTTTAAGTAAGATCCGTAGACAGACTTGCACTACTCTCTGTTTTTCATATCTATTAAAGCACCCGCCATGGTTCTGAAGAGAAAGTTCTTGACTTTTGTTTGGAGGATTATTAACAACTTGACGATTTTGTCCAAAACAGTAAGCTTGGTGTGCAAATCAAGACAACTGTCTCAGCAAATTTGTTGGAGGAGGCGCTGAATGGTACGGTTACTACATTGCCTCTTAAGGTTGGGCAAGTTGTGTCTAGGAAGGTATGATAATGATAGTTTTAGTACACAAGCATTTGCTTTGATGTGGATAGGTTCATCTCTGACATATTTGCTTCTATAACAGGTTGAAAAGCAATCGGCTCACTTTTATTCTATTACGCTAACAGAGGAAGAAGCCCAGGCTGGGTTGATATGTAAGGTCCAGTCATCTGCTAAAAACAAATTCAAGGTTCGTTTGCGCTAACTCTTGCTTTTTGTGCACAAGAATCTTGTGGTCTTTTTTTCCTAGTCTTGTAGTTTACCTTCTGATTCTTTTTGCTTTCCAGTTGCTTTACTTTGATCAAGAAGAGAATGGAGGACTGAGCCTGGCACTGCAGGTGTAGTTCTGTATTATTAGTTTATTGAGTAATAATGATTTGGTTATATTTTGTTACATCTCTTTTTCTTTTGATAATTTACTGTCACATGTCTGAGTCGCATCACAGAGTGGTTCCATCAGATAACTTACTAAATTTGCTATTCTCATTAACCTATAACATCAAAATTCTGCCCAGTCGAATCTTCATACCTCTTGTGTATGTTTCTAAATTGTGTATGTTTTTTTTTTTTCTTTGTGCAAAAGGAAGGCAGCAAGAAAACAGGAAAGCTCTCGACTGCAGGGTTGTATTTTTTTGGCTTCCCTGTTTATCGATTCGATCACAGGGTTAATTCAGTTAACTATCTTCTCTACCCTCTTAAGCTACCACCTTTATTTTCTTCTTTTGATCGCCATGTACTCAGTTTTCGCTCTTCTGCTCACAGAGGGCTCTCTCAAGGGATCCAGAGACTGGATTTTTCAAAAGGCTTGATGCATTTCAACCGTTTGAGATCACTGAACTTAAAGCTGGATCTCATGTCTTTGCTGTTTATGGTATGTGTCTGTTTAATTCGCTTATAGTTTTATATGATTCACTAGTTCACTCTATTAGAAGTAGAGTAAGCTGATTTGGTGTCATATCTTTCTCTAGGTGACAATTTTTTCAAAAGTGTAAACTACACTCTAGAAATATTCTCATCTGCTCCATTCGCTAACGAGAAAGAGAGTCTCCGGTCAACCGAAGCTCAGATAGTCTCGAAAAGAACCGAGCTATTGAAGTTTGAATCTGAATATCACGAGGTCTTTGCGCAGTTCACAGAGATGGCTAGTAAATGCACAGGTGAAGTACAAGAGGTGAGAGATAGTTTACCGTAGCAACCTTTTCTCTTATTTTATTGATTACTTTAAGAACAAGTAACTGAGAATTTGTAGTGTTTGTAGATCGATGAGCTTCTCAAGAGGAGGAACGAGATATGCGCAGCTTACACGATATTCCCACCAACAAAGCAAGGTTCAAGCAAGAACAGGAGCTGGAGCAGGAAGAAGAGCAGTCTTTTAATGGAACCTAGAGAAGAAGGAGAAGTCACTGTTAGGGAAGAAGATGTAGTGAAGAAGAAAAAATGGTACAATATTCAGCTGAGGCAAGACAAGAAAAAAACCTGAAGTTTTTTCAGGCACATAGCTACATTCCAAAAAAGATATATATGTTTCAGTGATAATCTTTAGGTACTATTAACACTTTTTAAGAAGTGGTATGTGGTTCTGTATGCTTTGCCGGATTCATCTCTTCATACGCTTTGCTGGATTCAGATTCACATACTCGTCAGCTTCTTCTTCGTCGCTGAATTCATATGTATCCTGCTGGTTATTACCGAAATCTTTTTCATCACCAGATACTGGTTTACTATATGCTGTTTGGTATCCACCATTGTTGTTACTTTCGGATTCATACTTCCAGATTTGGACACCGCATTGAACAATCTTGAATTCGCTGCAGAATTCGAACACTATCTGCCTGTCACTTCTTGAAACTGTTCTTGTTCAAACCAGTAGGAGGGAAATATAAACAGATGTTTTCCTCAAATTCTGGGAACTGCGGAAATGTGGAGGTTTATGTCGCCTTTCCTTATACGATGACACAACAGTTGTTCGAATTCTCTGGTTTGCTGTTTAGAAGAAATCACGACACAAACCTTGAAAATGGTGAGAGGCGTGTTACTCATTGGACGTATGGTCAAGAAACTTCCTCTGGCTCGGTGATCAAACTTTACATGCACTCTCTTCTGGGTAAGCAAGCCCAGCCTTGAAGAATGGTTGGATTAAAATTCCTCTTCTTGCTTCTCTATCCAGGTTGAAGCAGTTTGTGTAGTTGAGTTGCACATATGGAGTGTTATATGGGCAAGTAAGTCTTTCCATTGATTCCTAGTCTTGCTTACGTGGATCTGGTAGTGATGCTAGTTTTCTACAGCTGTTTAGACAGAGTTGTAATTGATAGAGACTTTTCTTACAATATGGAATCCTCTCAACACCACTGTAGCTTAGGTTTAGATCTCTTAGACTATGGGGAACATGTGTTAATGCCTTTAGCTTTCCATAGCTGATTATGTTGAGAACTCGAATGCAGGCACTTGTTCTACCTCCTTGACTGAGATAGAGAGGCGTGAAATGTTCCTAGAGATGTCTTGAAAGTTTCTCAACTTTTGGCATGCTGTCCTATTAACCGATTCAAGAGATGCTAAGTTCATATTACTTGGAATGACTTTTAGCCTTGTGCAGGCAAACATGCTCAACACTTGTAGCTTGTGAAGGTTCGAAAATGAGGAAGGAATCTCTACCAAACTCTCACAGTCATCCAGTTTCAATCTCCGAGGTTTGTTACATTTGAAAGATCTGGGAGTTCTTTCAAATGATAAGACTGACAAATCCAGCTTCTTGAGATTTGTAAGCGGCTGAATGCAAAACCAAACAGCAGAGAGAAGACCATCAGAACATAAAGAGAAAGTGCACATTCAGATATATTCCAAATAAGTACATACAATAACAAACCTGAGGTCCTTCCCAGAGCTTCTCGAGCTGGCTATTCTGCATATGGAGTCATCCCAATGTAGTAACCTAAGACGTGGTGGAAACTCCATGTCTTCAGGTATGCACACTCTATCATTCTCATCATATTTTCTTCTATAGACATTGAGGAATTGAAGGTTACACATTCTCTTAATAGCTCCCTCGCTTACAAACACGTCGCTGATTTCAGATGTATCGAATGAAATGCCTGACACGGTTCTAGTACCCTTAACCAAATTCCAAAATAGAAGCATGTGTTAGCACAATAGGTAAAGTCAAAATGAGTTGAACTAACTAGTAGTAAAAATGAACTTACTGTATTATATTCAAGGACATCGCAAATCTCATGAGAATGGCGTTTCCAAGGTTCTTGTCGATGAATTGTCTACCCCATTTGTTATAGTAATCTGTGCATCACTATATCTGCACTTGTAGATATGTCTATGAGAGATCTATTGACTAGGTTTCTCAACCCATGTTCAACATCCAAATTACAGTCCCCGAGCATGGCTTTTACATAATCTTATCGCCTTTGTAGTTAAAGATGATTGCAATGTGAAGAAACAGAGCTTGATCTTTCTCATGTAAACTCTCATACCCGACTCTTAAAACTCTCTCGAGATCTCCATCAAGACTAATTTCTAGCCTGTGCATTGTAACTTCCCATTCTTCCTCGCTTTTCCTGCGTAAAGTTGAACCCACAACACAGAGTCCCAATGGAAGATTACTGCAAAGCTCTGTTACTCTTATTGCAAGGTTTTCAAAACCATAATGTGGAGAGCTTCTTCTTAAAGCATATCTATAAATAATCTCAAGAGCTTCTTCATTAGATGGAAAACCCACATGGTACGTGTGGTTTATGCCATATCTATGCAAAAGCTCTCGATCTTTCGTAGTTACAATGATTCTACTTCCAGAAGAAAAACGATGAATATCCTTAGCCAAAGCATCTAATTGCTCAAGACTGTCTCATCAAGAATGATGAGAACCTTTTGGTTGTGTAAACTTTCATATGTCACATCCAAGTGAGATATCTTCATTTTATTTTGGTTCAAAATATGGGAAAGAAGTTGTTCTTGTAACTTCAGCTTTGAATCATGATTGTCACAATCAATATTCCTATAACTTCCCTTGACATTTTCCAGGAAATATCTAAGCGGGAAATCCTGAGAAATTTGGTTGTATAAAGCTCTCGCAATGGTAGTGTTACCAATGCCCGCAGGACCAGAGATTCCTAAGGTCATAGCTTCATCATTTTCTACATCTAACAAAGATTGAATTTTCCCCAAATGAGCTTCAAGTCCTACCATCCCATCAAAATCCCTTGATGGTGTAGCGTTTAGTTTTTCTGAAACATCTTTAGCAATCTTCTCAATCATGTTTGCTTAATTGTTCCTAACAAGAACGAAAAAGATTCTTAAAGATTTTTTTTTTTTCAAGTCATTGTAATGAATCATTGGCTGAAACAACTCATCCCTTAATAAGCTACCAAATGACCACTTTTGTTGAATAAACTTTTACTTGTAATTTAAAAAAAAAACAACCCTTCGTTTTTCAATTAATTTATCATTCCGTAAGTAAAATATCTGCGAAATCGTGTTTCTAAAAAACATCTTGCAGATTATCAATTAGAGCTTTCATAAATCCAGAAGAAGATAGAATAATAATAAGAAAAACAAACCACTTTAGGGAGTGTTCTCCGGCTATGTTGGCGACATGGGTCAAAGCTTGGATCCAACTCTCCATCTCAGTCTCTGTTTTGCCTTGGCAAGTTTTCTTGAAAGCTTTACCTAACTCTCCCATCTGTTTCTTCACATCACACGGATCCACACAGTAAAAAACCGTCATCACTATTTGCCCTGCAGATTCTTGAAACTTCAAGATCTCGACCAGCTCCTTCAAGCACCAATTTGAAGATGCATAGTTCTCCGAGAGCACCACGATCGAGATTCTTGATTCTCTTATCGCCTGTGTGAGCTCAGAACCAATCAGTTGGCTTCTCTCGATCCCTTCATCGTTGAACGTTGTGATCCCATTGCGTTCAAACTGCATTTGTAAATGACTTAGAAATGTTACACGGACGTCTGGTCCATGGAAGCTCGGAAAGACGTTGTATCTCCAGCTACGAGAAGACGAAGAAGCCATGAGAGATTAGAATGGGTAATGAAATAATTTTTGAAAGACAACAAAACTAGATAGTTAAAGCCATACGTATTAAGAACAAGTCAGTGTATTATTAATGAAAACGCCTAATGAGAGGAGAAACGTCAAAGAGAAGAAGGTTTCTTTCTTAATTTTGTTTCAAGACTACACTTCCGACTTTCGACTATTTACGGAAAGCTAGTATGAACTAAAATGTACCTCTTTTTCAAAAGTTAGAAAAATGTCCTTGTTAGTGATGGACTAATTGACTAAATCTAGTTCTTAATGGGAAATATATTGCGATTTTTTTCAAAACTCTACATTCATTCATTGAAAAACCATGAATTTTTTTTGGTTCTCCTAATTATTCTTGTCATATTATGTGGAGACGACATCATTAACAAAATGCAATAATAGGAAGACTTTGATAATAACTCTAGGCGAATGAAACAATTTGTAGTGTAAAAAACACTTGTGCTTGCATATATATGATTTCATTGTTAAATTAGTATGTTATGCTTCCTTGTTTCAAATTAGTGCTTTATAGATCAGTGGCGGAACTACACATTTTTTTCGTTGGGGACATAAATATTTTTTAAAAAAATTACATAAATAAATATTCAAAAAAATCCTACATAAAAATAAAAATAATTTATAAATGTTATTAAAACCACTTTACAAGCATACTCTACATTGAGTCATGGTTTGGAATCTATTAATCTGTTTTATTTGTAGGCATTCAAACAACTCTTTCTCAATAAAACAATCCAGTCTGAATTAGCTATTAAAACTGGATTTTCAAAAACTTTAAAAATTCAGAAAAAACTAACTAAAACTCTGTGAATCGATAATTAAACCGGTGGGCCAAGTCAAACCAAAACAATGTTTGATCTACCCGAGTTTCGTTTGATCTCCCAGAAGCAGAAGTTGTTTAAACGTAGGCTTTTATGTTTTAAGCTTCAAAACATTACTGATGTTGCTAAAATAAAATAAACTATATATATGCAATTTTTTTATAATTTGTTTTATTAGATGTTGATGTGGGATCTCTTCCTTTATTAATCACTCACGTTTTTCTTTCTATTGGTAGCTTGTGTTTGTTCGTTTTTATTGGGCTTAAAAGTCTAGTTTCATAAGTTTAGATTAATAAATAAATGAATAGGGGCATATACAATTTTATCAATGGGGGCATTAATTTTGGGTTTTAATAAGTTACTCTAATTTTTAAAAATCCATTGGGGGTCAATGACCCCAACAAATTCTATGTGGCTCCGCCAGGTGCGGGTTACTACCTATAATTTTTTAAAGTAATATTCAAGTTTGCAATAAAATATGGATAATAAAAACTTAAAATTATAAAATAAATATATTATATTGGTGTAAATTATATTGTTATATAGAAATAAAACCATTTTGATAACAGTATAGAGATAAAATTATAATATATAATGTTATATATAGTGCATCTCACTATTAGATTAACTCTAACAGTGATGAAAAGAAATCTACATATGAATAAATAATAGGAATCATAAAACTAAATGAAATAAATAATTAATTTTTGAGTCAATTACAACATTCTCAATTATTAAACCAACAATAAATTGGTTTTTTTTTTTTTGCAAAGTCTTATGATATTCACCTTTATTTTCAAATATTCTTCAAAAGTTTTAAATCC